AGGGCAGTTCTCTCAGAGCTCTCTCAGCCCCGCCTATCTCACAGGGTGTCTGTTGTGGGGAGGAGAAAGGAAAGGAGTTTGTAGGCCGCTCTGAGACTCCCTTGGGTAGCGAAGGGCAGGGTATAAATCCAACCTCTTCTTCAAGAGAAGAGCTCGGCCTGTCGGTTGGTGACTGGCCTGTCGTCTTCTGTGGGGCCGCTGTTCTCCATCCAAATCAATCATACGCCTCAAGCTCTTTACTAAAACAAATTCACCGGGGGAAGCGTTATCAGCGTGTTGGGCTGTTTACTCCTGGCCCTCACTTCTTTCCCCTGTGTTTTTAAAAATGTCCTGACACAACGTAGTATTGGGGTGGGGGGAGGCCAGTCGTGATCTACACGTGCCAGAACGCCACTCACCACAAATTAGATGGGGCTGCTGACCCATTTGTTTGGAAAACGGCACCTTTTGTCACGTGGCGCGATCTCGCTATAAATGGATCCCAAACGTTTGTGATCTCCTTGGCAGTTATATCTGGGCGTCGTGCTGGCTGCCGTCGTCATCATCACCGGCTGCTTCTCCTACTACCAAGAGGCCAAGAGTTCCAAGATCATGGAGTCCTTCAAAAACATGGTGCCCCAGGTGAGCGAGAGCCGCTCCTTCACCTTCCCTGCTGCTCCGGGTGTCTGCCCTGGCTTCGGTGGGGGACGGGCCTGACCAAAGGCTTGGCCGTTGCCCAGAGTCCCGCTGAAAGGAGCTTTCCCCTCCCGTAGCAAGCCCTGGTGATCAGGAACGGGGAGAAGCTGAGCATCAACGCAGAAGGCGTCGCAGTTGGAGATCTCGTGGAGGTGAAGGGAGGGGATAGGATCCCGGCAGACCTGCGGATCATCTCTGCTCACGGATGTAAGGTACGTCTGCGTCGGTGAGGAGGCTGGAAGGAACGATGGGAAGCTCTCCTGGGGGGGATCAAGGGCACCGTGTCCCCTCTTGAGTGCTCCCCCCCATTTTGTCCCTCGTGTAGGTGGATGTCTTCGTCGGTGAGGAGGCTGGAAGGATCGATGGGGAGCTCTCCTGGGGGGGATCAAGGGCGCCGTGCCCCCTCTTGAGTGCTCCCCCCCCATTTTGTCCCTCGTGTAGGTGGACAACTCTTCGCTCACTGGCGAATCAGAGCCTCAGACCAGATCTCCAGACTTCACCAACGAGAACCCACTAGAGACGAGAAACATCGCGTTCTTCTCCACCAACTGCGTGGAAGGTGAGAACCGAGTGCGGCGTTAGCGGAAACAAGCAGTCAGTCGGGACGCGGCGGCGGTCCTAGATCTCTGGGGGATGCTGCTGCAGAAAAGCGGGGTGCAGCGGCGGTGCAGAGTGTCGTCAAGTCGCAGCCGACTTACGGCGACCCCCTGGGGCTTTCAAGGCGAGAGTCGTTCAGAGGTGGTTTGCTGTCGCCTGCCTCTGTGTGGAGAACCTGGACTTCCGTTTGGTGGTCTCCCATCCAACTAATAACCAGGGCCAACCCTGCTTAGCTTCCAAGGCCTGATGAGATGAGGCTAGCCTGGGCCATCCAGATCAGGGTGACAAGCAGTGAAAATTTCAAAATTAGGGGAAGTGGGGTGGCTTCTCTGGTCTCTTAATATATCTGGGAGGAGATGGTTCACACAGTGTGAAGTTTCTCGTGGGAACATTCCATGACCTGCGATGACATCCTGCTACAAGTCCACGTAGTCCGCGTGTCATGCTAAACTGGTGGGCCTGTACGTGCCACATGATCAATAATCACAACTCTGCCAAGAGTCTGCCTTTTAAGGGGGAGGGGGAGCAAGCAAGCAGAGCTGTTGGCCGTTTTTGCATACAACAGCTCCAGGGGGGCAAAGATCAAGGATACCGCAGAGGGTCGTAGATCCAGAGGAGTTTAGCCCTGTGTTAGTCTGTTGCTGCAAAAATAGCAAAAAGCCCAGTAGCACCTTTAAGACTAACAACCTTTATTGTAGCGTAAGCTTTCGAGAAACACGGCTCTCTTCATCAGATGCATGGAGGGTATGAAGAAACTGTGCAGAGATATGTAGGTGGTAAGAGGAGGGGGGGAGAAGATGCATATAGTGACATGTAAATGCAAAGCAGTTGCAAAAGTCATGAAAAAGGTTGAATGCGCAGTCAAGGCTGGGTGTGTGACCCCCTTCCTTCTACTGAGGAATTTGAATGGAATACCTGAAAGGCAGGTGCTTCCGGTAATGAGAGAACCATCCCAAGTCTATTCAAGACTGGCTGAGTCAGATTTACACATGAATTCCAATTCTGTTGAACTATGGGGAGCTATGCAGAGGGGTTGGGAAGTTTTGAGACCAAGTCTCAGATGAGACCACCACTCGGGGGGGGGGGGGCTGAACTATCTCTAAGCTGTAGGGTTCATGTGGTGGAAAGTGCCATGAAGTCACAGTGTACCTGTGGCGGCCCCATAGAGTTTTCAAGGCAAGAGACGTTGAGAAGTGGTTTGCCATTGCCTGCCTCCGTGCCACGACCCTGGTATTCTTTGGAGGTCTCCCATCCAAACACTAGCTTCGCATTCCCAAGATCTGACGAGATCGGGCTAACGTGAGCTTCCGGGTCAGAGAGTAGGGTTCATAGGTAACCCTAAGAATACCCTTTTTCCCCTCACACGCCCGCTTACGCAGTTCGGTTCTGAAAGACAGCGAACTTTCGTCCTCTTGTGAATGTTCTCATCCTGCCCGAAGCACGTGGCCAGTCTTGCTAAGGCGCTCCGTCCCTGTTTCCAGGCACTGCTCGTGGCATCGTCATTAACACCGGTGACCGTACCGTCATGGGCCGCATCGCCACCTTGGCCTCTGGGCTGGAAGGCGGGCGCACGCCCATTGCCATGGAGATCGAGCACTTCATCCAGATCATCACCGGCGTGGCCGTGTTCCTCGGGGTCTCCTTCTTCATCCTGTCGCTGATCCTCGAGTACACCTGGCTGGAGGCTGTGATCTTTCTGATCGGCATCATTGTAGCCAACGTCCCCGAAGGTCTCCTTGCTACTGTCACGGTAAGTTAGAATCAAAGGATCATAGAGTTGGAAGGGATCTCCAGTTGGGCACGGGTGTTTTGGAGGTAGAGCTGGTCTCTGAAGGCTGGCTTGCCGATCACAGAACCGGTCCCCCCAAAAAAAGATTTCAGGAGGAGCGCCTTTTCTCTACAAGTGTCCCCCCCCCCACTCTCTTCGCTTCCCAGGTGTGTCTGACTCTGACGGCCAAGCGGATGGCTCGCAAGAACTGTCTCGTGAAGAATCTGGAAGCGGTGGAAACCCTGGGCTCCACCTCGACCATCTGCTCCGACAAGACCGGCACCCTCACTCAGAACCGCATGACTGTCGCTCACATGTGGTTCGATAACCAGATCCACGAGGCCGACACCACGGAAAACCAGAGCGGTAAGAAGGGTTGCTCTGTGGATCAGGGAGGAAGAGGAGGCACTGCTGCGTGGCCCAGGGAGTGCGGCGGAGGCTCTGCAGGAAAAGCCCTGAAACCTTGCGTACAGTTCTCAGTGTAGTCAAGGAAAACATCCTGGTGGCTCGGCACGTGGTTTATCAGTTTAATTAATTTGTTCATTTAGGCCCCGTCTTTCTCCCCAGTGGGGGGGACCCAAAACAGCTCACGTTATTCTCCTTCCCTTCATTTTTATCCTCACAACACCCCTGTGAGGAAGGTTAGCTTGAGAGACTGAATGGCCCATAAGGCACCCATTTAGCTTCTCTTATGTTCTTATTAAACATCTGGAGCAGAGGTCCATTGGTGGCTATTAGCCACAAGGCATAGACAGGAACTCTCGGTCTGGGGCAATGGATGCTCTTTATTCTTGGTGCTGGGGGAGGGGGCAACAGTGGGAGGGCTTCTAGTGTCCTGTCCCCACCAGTGGACCTCATGAGCCAGTTTGGTGTAGTGGTTAAGTGCGCAGACTCTAATCTGGGAGAACTGGGTTTGATTCCCCACTCCTTCCCTTGCACCTGCTGGATGACCTTGGGCAAGCCATAGTTCTGCCAGGGCTGTTCTTGAAAAAGCGGTTTCTGTGAGAGCTCTCTCTGCTCCACCTGCCTCTCAGGGTGTCTGTTGTGGAGAGGGGAAGGGAAAAGAGTTTGTAAGCTGCTCTGAGACTCCGTTGGGTAGTGAAGGGCCGGATATAAATCCAATCTCTTCTCTTCTGAGGGCACCTGGTATTTCTGGCCACTGTGTGACACAGAGTGTTGGACTGGATGGGCCACTGGCCTGATCCAACATTGGCTTCTCTTATGTTGTTATGAGGGGATTCGAACCTGGGTTTTTATTTTCAGTTCATTGGATTTATAACTTGCCGTTCCCTGTACATCAGGGTTTAGAGTGGGTAACAACATATACATACACAATAGCTGTAATTCAAAATGTTAAAACATTAAAACAGTCCTTACAAAATCTTTACTAAAGGTGGAGTATAAGAGGGAAGCACAATCTAGTGTCCCCTTACAGTGAGAGAGAATAAATAATCTACCGTTAGTCAGTAAAAATCTTCAGGCACTGAAGGAGAGGGGGGGAGGGGGAAGGAAGAGAGGGGAAAGGGAGGCCAAACTAATTTTGGGGGGTATTTTTTTGATTTTTCATATTTGTGTGCCCGTACCTGGAAGTCGTGGTGACTTCTGGTGGCTAATCCCTATTTGGGGGCCTGGAGGATATTCAGAGAGGGGGCTGAATGTAGCCTGCCCCCCACCCTCCTGACCAGTGTTCCCTCTAAGCTGAGTGAGTGTGAGCTAGCTCACAGTTTTTTTAGCCTCCAACTCACTTTTTTTGTCTTAGCCCAGGAGGGAGGGCTCCAGAGCAAACTAATCCATGCGGTAACTAATTGGCTCACTCACAGCTTTAACGCCAGTAGCTCACAACATGGAATTTTTGCTCACAGGACTCCACAGCTTAGAGGCAGCATGGCTCCCGACTGCTGGTCTCCCGTCCAAGTCCTTGCCAGAGTCGACCCTGCTGAGCTTCCGAGATCTGACGGGATCGGGCTAGCCGGGGCTATCCAGGTCAGGGCGGGAGGCCAGTCTCAAATGGAAAGCCGTCGCTGCCCTAGTTTGATAATCTTAAGCACCCTGCTGGGTCTCCAGCGGCTGGCCCAGGGCTTCGTTAGGAACCTCGATCCCAGGCCTCCTTTCGCTTTCAACTGGAAACCCACTTTAGAGCCCACCGGCTGTAGCAGTCCCAGTAGTCTCCCGGTTGGAGCTACGCAGAGTTTGGGGCGCAACGTCACCCCCAGTAGCATTCCCAGGTGCTGGTTTTCATTCGGGCTCGGGGGGAGCGACAGAGCGATAACCCCAGCTGCAGATTTCAGGGAACTCCTCCTCTCACCGAATGTGAAGCCTCCCTTCTCATCTAGGTTGTTCCGCTGTTGTGTAAATAAATCTTGTGGTTGGTGTGAGTTCCCACCAGTTGGGTTGTCAGCAGAGGAATTTGGGGGGTGGGGGGAGGAATGAATCTGGTCTGAAGTCTTGGGACGGAGCTAGACAAATCCCTCTGCTGTGTTTTGCCACCCAGGAGCCACTTTCGACAAGACGTCCCCGACTTGGGCCGCCCTCGCCAGGGTTGCAGGCCTCTGCAACCGCGCCGTCTTTCAAGCCGATCAGGACAACGTCCCCATTCTGAAGGTGGGTCGGCTGCCCCCCGTGGCCCATGCCTTTGCCTGGTTTAATGGCAGCAGCCCTTGGACACGTGGAGCTGCCTTATACTGGATCGGATCAGTGGTCCGTCATCAGTGTTGTCCGCTAAGAATGGCAGCGGCTCTCCAGGGTCTCAGGCAGAGGCCTTTCTCATCATCTACTGCCTGGTTCTTTCAACTGGAGATGCCAGGGATTGAACCTGGGGCCTCCTGCATGCCAACGGCAGCTCTTCCACTGAGCCACATGCCCCCCTCCCAATTTGAGTGCCATACCTTGGCCCCGCTGTCCTCATGAAATTCCTGAAAGGAGGAGGCTTTTTTGGACATCATTGGACTCCACTAGTGGGCCAGAGAGGTAAAGCTGCCAGGAGGCGACATTGGGGAAAGCCTTTGGCCTCTGTGCCCTGTTGTTGTCCCTCCAGAGGAACTGGTTGGCCACTGTGTGAGACAGGATGCTGGGCTAGATGGACCAATGGTCTGACCCAGCAGGGCTCTTCTGGTGTTCTTAGGAAGGCCTTGGCTTCTATGCCCTGTTGTTGGCCCTCCAGAGGAACTGGTTGGCCACTGTGTGAGACAGGATGCTGGACTAGATGGACCACTGGTCTGACCCAGCAGGGCTCTTCTGGTGTTCTTAGGAAGGCCTCGGCCTCCATGCCCTGTTGTTGGCCCTCCAGAGGAACTGGTTGAGGCCCCTGTGTGAGACAGGATGCTGGACCAGATGGACCACTGGCCTGATCCAGCAGGGGGTTCTTCCGTTCTTAAGTTTATTGAAACGGTCAACAATATGGGGTTTCCCCTTCTGTCAGCATCCCCTGGTGCCAGCGAAGTTCATTTACTTCATCCATACCCCCCCATTTTTCCTTAGTGGGGGACATTTGGAACATGCTTTCCTCCTTCACAACAACCTTGTGAGGTAGATTAGGTGGAGAGTGTGTTCCTCACCCAGCCAGCTTCCGTGGCGGAGCAGGGATTTGAATCTGCTTCACCCAGGTCCTTGTCCAGCTCATTAACCACGAAGACATGCTAGCTCTCTAAATCTGAGGTGTTAAACTCATTTGTTACAAGGGCCGGATCTGACCTAAATGTCACTTTGTCGGGCCGGGCCGGGCCATGTGCATCGTAAAATGTAATTCCAGGTACTGTGGAGATAGAAACTGTATAAAGGACAGCAGCTGGCAAGCTCCGAGCTGGAGTGTCCTCACTGCAAGGCCCCATCGGCTGGGAGGGGGGTGCAAAGGAAAGCCCACATGGGCAGACTGGAGAGTCAGAGGTGCAGCACTGCGCCGACACTCCCACGCTGCTTGACTGCCGCAGATGAGGTTGTTCTGCTGTGCTGAAGCCACAATGGCGTGGCTCCACCCACTCCCACAACCCCGCCCCCCCCCCCGCACTTCCTCCCTTGCATCAGTGGCTCACGGGCTGCACAAGAGCCCTGGACGGGCAGGATCCGGCCCCCGGGCCTTACGTTTGACACCCCTGCTCTAAATTGTGCAGTACTTTATCAAGCCGAAATTTTGTTTCAGAATGCATCGATTTAGCATATAAAATGGTACTCACTGGCGCGTGTGTGTCTGCAACGTAAAGCAGAAGTTGCTTAGCTTTCTGTGAGCAGAATTGTGAATACACAGTTTGGTGTAGTGGTTTGTAGTGGCCAGTTTGGAGTAGTGGTTAAGTGCGCGGACTCTAATCTGGGAGAACCGGGTTTGATTCCCCACTCCTCCACTTGCACCTGGCTGGATGGCCTTGGGCAAGCCATAGCTCTGATAAGAGCTGTTCTTGAAAAAGAGCCGTTTCTGTCAAGAGCTCTCAGCCCCGCCCACCTCTGTTGTGGGGAGGGGAAGGGAAAGGAGTTTGTAAGCCGCTCTGAGACACCTTCGGGTAGTGAAGGGCGGCATATAAATCCAATCTCTTCTTCTTCTTCTTCAATATGAGAGAGAGATCCATTCTAACCTGACCGCTCAGCAATTTCTTGTCTTGTGAGAAAGGGAGAAAAGAACTTCTTTCTCCACCTGCTCTATCCCACGCATAATCTTGTAAACTTTTACACGGTGTGTAAAACTGTGTCTCGAAAAAGGATGACACTTGTTCTGAAAGAGAAAACAAGTTTGTCGGTGTGCTTCCCAACACTTTCCAATTTTTCCAAATTGGTCAAAAAATCGAGACGGAGTTGAAGGCGGGAACAAAAGTTTTGTCTGCAGTCCTGGGCAAGGAGTAAAGACCAGTGGTTACAGTCCCTGTGGAGTCCCCCCCCACACACACGTGTTCTATCACAATGAGCGCAAGCCGCCTCTTCGTTTACTCGGCATGGGAGATTTGTTCTGAGGCCTTGTCCTAAATGCATTAAACGCATTCCCCGATGAAGAGCAGGCACACTCAGTGTGGGTCTGAATAACTTTGTGGTGGCAAAATAAGTCTTTTGGCAACTTGCTCTCTGCTCTCTCCCACTACGTTGTTTCTGGTCTTGGCAAAACCTCTTGGGTTGTCGTGTAGAACAAGGGGAAAGGCCTTCGCTGTAAAGAATGGGACTTCACTCCTGGGGGGGGGGGATTGGTTTCCAGGGCTTCAGAGTGAACGTGCGGTTCTCTCTCATTTGCTAGAGGTCGGTGGCAGGGGACGCCTCAGAGTCCGCCCTCTTGAAATGCATCGAAGTGTGCTGCGGCTCCGTGAAGGAGCTGCGAGAGAAGAACACCAAGGTGGGGGAGATCCCGTTCAACTCGACTAACAAATACCAGGTAGGAGGAAGCCTGGCAGGAAAGGCCAAAAAAGGCAGTGCGGAGCCAGCTGGTCTTCCGTTTAACCCGTGTGGTTGCATTCTTTGTTTTGTTTAGTATTTTCCGTGTGTTTGTGCCCGTGTGCACGTGCCCCTGGAAGTCATGGCGACCTCTGGTGACTGACTCCCTACTGGGGGCCTGGAGGAAATTGAGAGAAGTGACTGAATAAAGCCTGCCCCCACCTCCCGGCTCTGGTATTCCTTGGAGGTCTCCCATCTAAGTCCTTGCCAGTGTCGACCCTGCTTAGCTCCCGAGAGCTGATGCCTGGGCTATCCAGGTCAGGGCGCGCAGTTGCATTCCATGCTGATCGGATTGAGGCCTCTCCCCCCCCCCCTTCAGTGCATTGGGTGGTTGAAGCATCAAACTGTTCTGCGTGTGTGTCCAAAACCAGACCTTTTAGGACCCGTAAAGCAGTGTTCAGGTTGTTTAGTTTGTAACCCCGCTCGAAACCTCTCAACACACAGCTGTCCATCCACAAGAACGCAAACCCGTCGGAATCGCGATACCTGCTTGTGATGAAAGGCGCCCCGGAGCGGATCCTGGACCGCTGCAGCACCATCTTGATCCACGGGAAGGAGCAGACCCTGGACGAAGAGGCCAAAGACGCTTTCCAGAATGCCTACCTCGAACTGGGAGGCCTGGGGGAGAGAGTACTAGGTAACGCACTCGGGTGGGAATGGGGATGGGGCAACCTGTTTGGGTGCCCATAGAATTGGACCCCCTGGTTCAATGTTCTTGAAACTTAGTGGGTATCTTGGGGAGAGGCTCCAGCAGCTACCCTACGAGTTTGGAGCCTCTCCCTCAAACCCCTTCTACTCCAGCCCCCAGAATATACCCTGTTTTTACCATTGAGTTCAATGGCTCATTGAATCGGCCCTCAGCAGCCCTAAAGGGGCCCGAATGGGCCATTTTTGGAGGTGCATTCGATTCAGACGAACCAAATGTACATCTCTATGCAGGTGTGACCTTGGGTCAGTCACAAGTTCTCTCAGAGCTGTTCTCTCACGAGCAGTCCTTGAAAGACCCCGCTCGGCCCCACCTACCTTAGAAGGGTGCCTGTTGTGAGGAGGGGAAGGGACTGTAAGCTGCTCTGAGACTCCTTCGGGTAGTGAAGGGCAGGCTATAAATCCAATCTCTCCCCCCCCCCCCCCTTTCCTCCTCTCAAAATTTGTTCTGCATAGGCTACTGGCAGCTCTGTCTCAGAAAGGGCATTTGGGGAAAGGGAAACAAAAAATAATTGAGTGTCTTCACTACAAGGAAAAGCTCATGGGGGCGGTTGGTTGGTACCTTTCTTGGTAGATAGTGATGGCACTTAATGGAGATAGTTAAGCATGGCATAGCCATGTGGATACACATGGGTGGGGAATCGGTCTGTCAGCAGCTGGTAGCCATGATAGCCGAGTAAAATGTGCACCCCATTGAGAGGTGTGTCTCTCAACAGGAGAAGTTGGCTGTTGCTTCCAGGCCTTGCTCGTGGTCTTCTAAGGAGCATCTGCTTGGTCCCTGGTGGCCAGAGGATCCCAGGGGGGGTCTGATCAAGCAGGATCCCCTTTAAGAATGTAGGAATCGGGAACATGCTCTCTAACCCCCACCTTCACGAAAATAAAGACACTGTAATAAAACGCAAAAATACATAACTGAGAATTTATATGTAGGTAAAGGTCATGAAACGATATAATTCAATAAAGAATTAAACAACATAACATAATCACATACACAAGGAATAGGAGTACCATAGCACAAGCTATAAGTAAGAGAATAGTCAAACAACTGGGATCCAGAAAAGTCCAAAGGGATCAGAACGTCAGAAGTCAGGCAGAAGTCACACAGAGTCAGGCAGAAGTCACACAAGGATTCCAGATATTGTATGGTATAGTTTATTATGGCATCAAGCCAGTAAATCAACAAAATCACACTGACATTAGAAGACATACGGACTACAGCAATAAAATAGCTAGAATAAATACAAAGGATATATAAAAATACATTCAAATAAAGTAACAACAAATAGGTACTACATAAAATGTAGGTCAGCAGATCGGCTTAGAACTAAAACGCAGTTTAGCGGGCTTTTCGAATACAACAGCAAGCGGTACAGAATTTGGCAACAGCTTTAGAGGTAGACTGATTTTCATCTGACAGCAAATAGTTTATATCAGGACTTAGTTTTACAATAGGCTCAAGATATTTGGAGCAGGCCTCCCTTGTACCAGCAGGGACACCTGAGGATCATATGCGAGATAGTTTCAGCTTCCCCTAAGCCACATCTGCAAAGCCTTTGTGCAAAGGGAATTCCCTTGTATCTGCCCTCAAGCACCGCTGAGGGGAGGATTTCCAGAGATAAAAGCCTGACTTCTGACGTTCTGATCCTTTTGGACTGATTCTTTGGACTTTTCTGGATCCCATATTTTTGTGTTTTATTACACTGCATTTGTTATTTTCATGTTTGTATACACTCTATAATCCTTCTTGTGTAACCTCTGTCTCCATGCAGAGGTAAGCATAGAGGTTACCTCCGTGCAGTCAAGAGATCGCATGGCGGCTTGCAAATAGATCTCTTTTAAACTACGTAGGAATCAGGAGTATGCTTGCTCACCTCCACCCCTCTGTGCAAAGGTAAACACAGAGGCGGCCTCACTTTAGACCAGAGATCACCTGCCTTAGAGCAGTGCACGTTGGGATTTGTAGTTTTCTGGCTGCTTGCCTGCTGCAGTTCATTCAAGGAAACAAAAGGACCTTTTGGGGTGGGGAGCCTGAACATTGCTTCGGTTGGTTCCCTGGGTGGGTGATATTTTGAGTTTGCTAACACTTCTCCATATGGGCTCCTTTGAAGGCACCTGGAACATCTAAAACTAAGTCAGCGTGTGTAGGAGGCCATTTGAACTGTTCTGGCTTTTCCAGGTTTTTGCCACCTGGCCCTGCCGGACGAGCAGTTTCCAGAAGGCTTCCAGTTTGACACGGATGAGGTGAACTTCCCAGTGGAAAACCTCTGCTTCGTCGGGCTGATCTCCATGATTGACCCTCCTCGTGCCGCTGTGCCCGACGCTGTGGGCAAATGCCGAAGTGCCGGCATAAAGGTATGGCTGCCGTTTTACCAGACTGCCAGTGCAGAGAGGGAAAGTGAGAGGCGGGCAGGCCCCAGTGAGGCCGATCTGTGGCGCTGCTTTGAGCCTTGCCCTGCTGATCAACGTCGGGCAACCCCAGCCTTGCTCTTTTGTGAGAGATACCAGCAGCTGCTGGTATGACCTTGGGTCAGTCACAAGTTCCCTGAGGAGCAGTTCTGTCAGAGCTCTCTCAGCCCCACCTACCTCACAGGGTGTCTCTCGTGGGGAGGGGAAGGGAAAGGAGATTGTGAGCCACTCTGAGACTCCCAAGTGAAGGGCAGGGTATAAACCCAATCTCTTCTTCTTCTGTCAGTTTGGTGTAGTTAGGAGCACAGACTCTAATCTGGGCGAACCAGGTTTAATTCCCCATTCCTCTAAAGGAGTTTGTAAGCTGCTCTGAGACACCTTTGGGTAGTGAAGGGCGGGGTATAAATCCAGTCTCTTCTTTTTCTCTCAGGAGCAGTCCTCGAAAGAGCTCTCTCAGCCCCGCCTACCTCACAGGGTGCCTGTTGTGGGGTGGGGAAGGGAAAGGAGTTTGTAAGCCGCTCTGAGACTCCCTTGGGTAATGAAGGGTGGGGTATAAATCCAGTCTCTTCTTTTTCTATCAGGAGCAGTCCTCGAAAGAGCTCTCTCAGCCCTGCCTACCTCACAGGGTGCCTGTTGTGGGGAGGGGAAGGGAAAGGAGTTTGTAAGCCGCTCTGAGACTCCCTTGGGTAGTGAAGGGTGGGGTATAAATCCAGTCTCTTCTTTTTCTCTCAAGAGCAGTCCTCGAAAGAGCTCTCTCAGCCCTGCCTATCTCACAGGGTGTCTGTTGTGGGGAGGGGAAGGGAAAGGAGTTTGTAAGCTGCTCTGAGACACCTTTGGGTAGTGAAGGGCGGGGTATAAATCCAGTCTCTTCTTTTTCTCTCAGGAGCAGTCCTCGAAAGAGCTCTCTCAGCCCCACCTACCTCACAGGGTGTCTGTTGTGGGGAGGGGAAGGGAAAGTAGTTTGTAAGCCACTCTGAGACTCCTTCGGGTAGTGAAGGGCCATGGGGTATAAATCCCATCTCCTCCTCCTCCTTCCCCCTCACATATGGGCTGCCGTTGGATTGTCATGGCCGCCTTTGTCTTTCAGGTGATCATGGTGACTGGAGACCATCCCATCACGGCCAAAGCGATCGCCAAGGGAGTTGGGATCATCTCAGAGGGCAACGAGACGGTTGAAGACATTGCCCTTCGCCTCAACATCCCTGTTAGCCAAGTCAACCCCAGGTACTGAGCCACGAAAGCTGAGGCGGCGGTGTTTTGTTGTTGGGGGGGGGGGAAGGGCTCCCAAACGGCAGCTCTCCGCCTCAAAACGTCTGCCTCAGCACAGTTGTGGCAGAGGCTGGTAAACAACGCCGGTGCCAAATCCGAACAAAAAGGACTTTTGCTTTGGCTCTCCCGCCCCCAGCACGCTCAGGGCCGTGCCCTGCTTCTTGAGGTGATATTTGGGCGTGATTAGGATTCCGAATCTTTTGGGCTTCGCCCCCCCCACCCCTTGGGGAGCAGTCAGCTGACACCCCTTCTTCACTGCCTCATTTGCTCCGGAGTGGGGGGGGGAGGGAGAATTCCCCTCCAAACAGTGGGGAGAGCATTCCGGAAGGTTCTCAACCGGCCCCGCTTGGATTTCAGAGACGCCAAAGCGTGCGTGATCCACGGCTCAGACCTGAAGGACATGACGGGCGAGCAGTTAGACGACATCCTGAAGTTCCACACGGAAATTGTCTTTGCCAGAACCTCTCCTCAGCAGAAGCTGATCATTGTGGAGGGCTGTCAGCGACAGGTGAGGGAAGGACGGGCAGGAGTCAAGACAGTGTTGTTTTAATTACCAAGGTGGTATTTTATCAGTATCTGATGAAGTGCGCGTTATACCTAGAATTGAACTTTGCTGGTCTTCAAGGTGCCACTGGACTCAAAGTTCGTTCTGTTGCTTCAGACCAACACCCCCACCCCCCTGAGTCTATTAAAACGGAGCGGTTTTGGGTTCATTTCTCTGTAAAACTCTTCCTCCTCCTTCTCAGCCAGGCCAGCTTGAGGTCCTCTGCTTGGGCCGACAGGGTTTTCCCCTCACCTCCAGGACCAGGAGCTCAAGTTCCTCTTTGTTTCCAGGGGGCCATTGTGGCCGTCACAGGCGACGGCGTGAACGACTCCCCCGCGCTGAAGAAGGCAGACATCGGTGTCGCGATGGGCATCGCGGGCTCTGACGTCTCCAAACAGGCAGCGGACATGATCCTGCTGGACGACAACTTCGCCTCCATCGTGACAGGGGTGGAAGAAGGTAATGTCTCTAATGGTCGTGGCATTCATCACCTGGGGGGGGGGCAGTGTCTGAAGGTTGGCGCCCTCCTTGGCTTCCTCCTCCTGTTTGGCCAATAGGCATGTAGCCGGCAGCTGGACAGTTTGGATTGGGCAAGGTCCGCCTGCTCTGATTGGTGCTCTGGTGGCTTCCGCCTCACTTTGGGGAGGCAACTTGACCTGCCCTGAGCCACCCCGACCTCCGGCGCAGGGAGAGCCATTTCTCCCCCTTATGGCAGTTTCTCCTCTCCCGCCCTCCCTCCCTCCCTCAGGCCGCCTGATCTTCGACAACCTGAAGAAGTCCATCGCTTACACCTTGACCAGCAACATCCCCGAGATCACCCCTTTCCTCATCTTCATCATTGCCAACATCCCCCTGCCGCTGGGCACCGTCACCATCCTGTGCATCGACCTGGGCACCGACATGGTGAGTGGAGCCGTGGTTTTACATCTGCCGTTAAGAACGCCTTCTGGCTCCCGTGTGCCTTGGAGGCCACGTTCTCCCATGTTCTGGAGAACCAAGCGGGCGAGAGAGAGAGAAACAGGCTAGAACTTGACGCTCCCCCCCCCCGCTCTTGCCTGACAGGTTCCCGCCATCTCTCTGGCATACGAGCAAGCCGAAAGCGACATCATGAAGAGGCAGCCAAGGAACCCCAAGACGGACAAACTGGTGAACGAGAGGCTCATCAGCATGGCTTATGGCCAGATTGGTAAGCGCACTGTCTCTCTTCTTCAGTGTGGGGGGCGCATGGGGGGGGTCTTTTAGTTTCACCATGTGTGAAAATGCGGCTGCTGGTCATCAGGTGAAGAAGAAGAAGAGACTGGATTTATACCCAGCCCTTCACTACCCAAAGGAGTCTCAGAGCGGCTCACAATCTCCTTTCCCTTCCCCTCCCCACAGCAGAACCCTTGTGAGGTAGGTGGGGCTGAGAGAGCTCTCTCGAGAACTGCCCTTGAGAGAACAGCTCCGAGAGAACTTGTGACTGACCCAAGGTCACCCAGCTGGCTGCATGCGGAGGAGTGGGGAATCAAATCCAGTTCTCCCAGGTTAGAGTCTACCACTCTTAACCACAACACCAGTCAGGAGTCCAAGGGCTGAAGGAAGTAGGTCAAAGAGGTGACACTAGGCCCAGAAGCTCTCCTTCGGTTACTCTGAAGCTTCCCAGGTTTGGGGCTGGAAACCAAAAGCTTCCTGGGTTGCAGGATATGAGGGAAGGCCAAAGCATGGTTTGATGTGCAGCTTCTGAATTAGCAGCAACACTCCTCATGAGCAAGGGGTGTGAGGACGCCCCCCCCCCCCCAGGTTGG